GGCCCTGCTCTGGATCCCCTCCAGCCTGCCCACAGCTTTTTTGTACAGCGGGGACCAGAACTGGGCACAGGATTCCAGGTGTGGCCTGGCCAGCACTGAGCAGCGTGGGATGATGACTCCTTTACCTCTGCTGGTGATGCTCGCCTGCACCCTGTTGGCCTTCTTGGCCTCAGCAGTGCACTGGTCGCTCCTATGGAGCTTGTTGGCCACCAGGACCCCCATGTCCCTTCTCACAGAGCTGCTCTCCAGCTGGGTGGATCCCAGTCTGTGCTGCACTCCTGGATTTCTGTGGAACTTCTGGAGTTCTGTGGACCTAGCCATTCTCTGTTAGCCATCTGGAGACAACCCGCTCTTGGGCTGTAACGCTGTTTTAGCTTTGCCTGGTTGATCACTCCTGGCAGCTTATGAGGCTGGAAAACTGGATTCAAAAGTTTGAATTTAAGAGGCAGGCTACTGTCCTGTTTACAAATGGAAATTGTCCAACTCTCAGCCCTTGGTGACTGCTGGGCTGGCAGAGCTGTGCTCCAGTGAATCCTCTGGACGGTGCTGATCTTCCCTCCTTTCCCTTTTCTCTCTTTTTAGGTCGGGGACCATAAATTCAGCGCTCACCGGATTGTGTTGGCAGCTTCTATCCCGTACTTCCACGCCATGTTCACCAACGACATGATGGAGTGCAAGCAGGATGAGATTGTCATGCAGGGGATGGATCCCAGGTAACATCCCAAGGCGCACGAGTGAGGATATCCAAAGGGGACCGCGGGCGCTCTGCGGGCCTCGGCGTTGTGCGTGCAAGGCTTGAAAGCCTACCCTCTGCGTGAATGGCGCTAGAAAATATTTGTCAGTAGGGTCCCACGCTAGCTCAAATTCAGTGGATTTTCTGCCCTTTCTCCCCCTTTTTTTAGCGCACTTGAGGCTCTGATCAACTTTGCCTACAATGGTCACCTGGCAATAGATCAGCAGAACGTCCAGTCTCTGCTGATGGGGGCAAGTTTCCTTCAGCTGCAGAACATCAAAGACGCTTGCTGCACTTTCCTCAGAGAGAGGTAAGGGCTCGGCTTTCGGCTGTGCTCACTGCTCCCCAACAGCAGCGAGGTTTTAGTCATCTGTTTCGGGCTTGGGAGGGAGTGGGATGTCTCCTGAGACTTGCCATTGCCTATAAAATAATTTGTCTGGCTTATGAGACGCTGCAGCTGCGGCACAATAAGGTGGTGGCCAGCCATGGGAATGAATACCTAGAGCAAAACTCAGTGAACATTTACCTTTTTTAAGAGTTAGCTAGCCGGTTCCCTGTCACAGCGGTGCGTGACTGCCTGTACTGCTAACGACCCCATCCTCGCAGTAATTACCTGTTGCGTGTGTAAGAGGGGAGGGACAAAGGGACGCTGCCAAGGAGCAGGACAGGAAGCTGGGGCAGAACCTTAAATTGGTCCCAGGTTTTTCAATTCCCTCGCTGGTGTTTGGCTGCAAGACTGTTCCAGCAGCGCAATCTGGAAACAGAAAAGCTGGGCTGTTCTTTGGAAACGTACCGCACGCATTTTCGGGTCGTGCCAGGGAGTCTTACGTGTTTAATTCCCCCTCCCTTCCCCAGCTTGATTTCTCTGCAGCTGTGCAGTGTGTTCCGTGGCATGATATTAAACATACACAGGACATCTCAGCCAGTTATTTTTCTTTACTTCTAAATAGCGGTATCCTAAAACCATGGGTTGAGGAGAAAAAACCTCCTCTGTCTTTAAGGCATCTCAATTCTCAGTCCCGTATGCCTCCTGACTTTCTGCCGTTTGTTTAAAATTATGTTACGTGAGATTACAGAGTATTCGTTTTTCTTGAAAAAGCATTTGGGGCACTGGATATGATGCCAAGCTAGAAAGAGATGGGTGACATTGATTTTTGAGTCCCTGCTAGCTTTAGGTGGCTGTACCTATATCCAGACTAAGCGAGGTGGTTTGGTTTCTGAGATTTAGCTGCTACAGTCCTCCCAAATCTACCAGGAGCAACTGGGTGTCCTAAATTAAGTCCTGTCACTTTAGATTAATAACAAGAAAATCAGTGGACTGTGACCATCCTGAAGAGCTGGAGCATGCACACTGAGCTCTCATTCTTAAATGGAATTAAGATTTGGGATATTTTTAGGCACCTGTGCACAGACAGGTCTGTAGTGCTGTAACCAAACCCTGTGTGAGCCCTGCGAGCCGTCCTCGTGTGAAATTCTGTCCCCCATCAGGGCTCTGTATTTGATCTTAGCACAGGGCAGGGCAGTAACTGGGGCTGCTGTCCCCAAAATGGCCACAAGCAATGTCACATCCTCACATGCACCTGGACACCGTGGGGTTTTGCAGAATGTTAGACGCTGAAACCGTCAGAGCTCGAGGTATTTCCATCATTTCATTGATGATTTTCCTCATCAATGATCTGGATGAGGGGATCGAGGGCACCCCCAGTCAGTTTGCAGAGGATACAGAGTTGGATGGGAGTGTGGATCTGCTGGGGGGGGAGGAGGGCTCTGCAGAGGGACCTGGCCAGGCTGGATCCATGGGCCCAGCCCAATTGGGTGAGGGTCAACAAGGCCAAGGGCCGGGTCCTGCCCTGGGGTCACCACAACCCCACGCAGCGCTCCAGGCGTGGGGCAGAGGGGCTGGAAAGCTGCCCGGGGGAAAAGGCCCTGGGGGGGTTGGTCGAGAGGGGGCTGGATAGGAGCCAGCAGGGTGCCCAGGTGGCCAAGAGGGCCCGTGGCCACCCGGCTTGTGT